CGTGTCCGTGCACGCACACACACACACACACACACGTATGCACACGTACGTGTGTGCGTGTGTCCTCTCTGTGCCGCTTCTCAGCCATGAGGCGAAGGCATTCGGTGCTAACTGAAGACATCACCCGAGCCTTGTGGGGAGACCGCAAATGAAGCGGGGATCGCCGCCGCCGGGGTTATCTCCCCGCGGAGTCTATGCCCTCGGATAGACCGAGCACAAAATACAGGTTTATCTTAAAAGCATCCATCCGAGCGCGCTGGTGAGGGCTGTTCAGGAAGGTCTTTTGTGCCAAGAGCTTGTGGGGGTTTTGGTAGTGCTCAGACCGTGATTGTTTTAGTTTCCTTAATTTTTTTTTTTAATAAGACAGGGCTTCAAACGTACAGAATTTTTAAGGCAAATGTTGCAGCAGGGAGCATCTCTAGGACAGATGCAAGGTGAAGGCGGCTAGCTGCCCAGATGAAATGAATGACTGTGTCTGCATTGCCTGATCCGAGCAGAGATACAATGGGGACACTGCCCATTTCTGGCATAAGACGGTCTGAATAACAACCTGGCACCAGGAAGATACGTAGAGCTGTTGGATCTTTAGAGATTTTATTTTTTATTTTTGCTCCTCCTGGCAGCCTCCCTTTGCCTGAGGGGAGGCAGGGGCTGATCCTGGTATTCCTGCTCTCGCCTGCCCATCCTTCCCCCTTCTGTCTATGCTGAGGAGTGGAGGTAAATCACAGCCCTGCTCTCTTGCCTGTCGCCAGCGGACAGGGTCTCCCCCGTCCTTTTGTGCAGGTGCCATGACCTTCTAGGGATACTGTGATGTAACAAACTTTACTCCTCTCCCCACCTGAAATGGATGCCAAGGGCAGCGTGCTCAGACCACATTTCATGGTCTTGGCATGTATGTTGGGGCATGTCCTGGAGGCTGGAAAGAATCCTGTCCCTGGGTCATGTTGGGCATATTCAAATATACTGGACCCGAGATTGAGTGCCCCGGGGCCCCTAGGCTAAACCCAGCACAGGAGCCTTTTGAGCTGCTGTTGGTTGTATAAGCTGGCTGGGTGCCAGGATCACCTATGGCGTGTTCAGGGCTGGTAGGGTACGGGGCGGGGGGGTGTGGAGATGGGGGAACACATCTGTTCTGCAGATGAGAGCTGCAAAGTCATTCAGAAATGCGGGAGAGCTCATGAAAATGATTTAGCTGGCCTCCTCCCCCTTTCAGCTCTAGACCCCAGATCAATCCCCACCCCATTTTCCTCGGTAGGAGCTGCAGGAGCCACTATGGCCATAAGGGGGTAAAAATCCTCTCTTTCCTCCTCATTTCCCTGGTCTCCAGCTAAATAGCTGCCTACTCTCTCCCTCCCTCCTCCCCCATTACTCCCCCCACCGAGTCTGTAACGGTGGAGCTGTGTTTCACAACTGTTTTATAGCCCTTTTGATTTAAGGTTAGTTTACATGTGAGAAATTACCAGTTTGATTATATGAGTGTAATGCCAGCAGCATAGGTATGCTGGTAAAATTCCTCATGTGGCTACTACGACTCTGGAGGAAGAGGTTTTTTTTCCTCTCTGCTGTTTCCTTTGCGCTCTCCCTCCTCCTCCTCTGCCCCTGTGTAACTTTGACAGTGACATAAGCTATCGCGGAGGAGAAAAATGCAACTCCAACCCCACATTCTTACTCTGGAAGCAGCATGTCCATATGGGGAGTGTTACCCGTCTAATTATACCACCAGATCTCTGTTGGGGATTTTTCCTGCGTAGACAAGTCTTGGGTCCTTTTGGTAGATTGTCTTCGAGCCAAGGAAGAAAATTGTGCCTTCCTGCCAAAATGCCAGATGAGAGGATCTGACACTTTCGAATGGGCAGGACTTTTCCTTGCCTAAGCTCGGGATTAGAAGATGTTTTGCACAACTTTTTTGGGGAGGTAGATTGCTTCTAAATTCTCCAGCAGCTCAGAGTATCCTATGCTCAAAACATTAACTAGGAAAGCAGGCAGAGACAGCCTGTAGCCAGGATGTAGAGGAGCCGGTCCCAAGCTCAGCAGCTGCCTGGGTTCAGTGAAGGCGGCAGGACACTTCGCGTCCAGGTTTTTTCCTTTCTAAACTTTGATTCCAGAAGGAAAAAATTAGAGGGCTGCCTCTGTAGAGATCATTTTACTTCCCAAACGTGGGGAATCTGTCAGCTTTGCCAGCTCCTCCCCATAGGAAGGTATGTCTGTAGCCCTCTAGTTTCTACCCTTGGGAAAGGGAGGAGTTGGGGTGGCCACGTAAGCTGCCTGGCCTGATTTTAATGCCTCCCTCAGGAAACTAGGCTGTGGCAGGATGGTGGTCTTTTATGAATCCGGGTGCCTGGGTGGGAGTCTGCTGTTAATTCAGGAGAGATTTCTGTTGGGAAAGGAGCTTTCCCAGCTTGGCCACGCTCCTTCGTGTCGTCCCAGCTCTCCCGTTCCTGCTGGCTGACCTTTAGTGCCCCTTCGCACATGGAGGCAGCGGCATGGGCGGCGGAGGGACTTTGGGCAGGTTCCTGGGAGGTGAGGGGATGGGCGTGGCATGCCCTCCCACCGCCCGCATCCTACGTGCTTGGCACCCCCGGGGTCGAGCCCAGTCGGGTGCTTGTGCTCGGGCCTGACAAAGGGCTGCGAGCACCAGCAAGCACGCGGCTGTCATGATGGAGATGGAAATTGGTGATTCAGGGTTCATTGACCTGTCTCATTAGGGTCAGTCCTGCCTGCTCCTTTCGTCATGCATGCCTGATCGGGCAGGCTGTCACTCAGCTAGGGCAAACAAGTGTGTGCAGAGGGAATGTTGTGTTACGGTTGCAGGAGGGAGCTGGGAGCCAGGCTGAGCCAACTTGCTGCTCAAAACTTCCTCTCTGTGTGCTGGTGGCCTTGGCTCGCAGGATTGTCTTCACGTGCCTCAGATTGCCTGTGGGTGGAAAGCGGGAGAGGGATGAGAGGCTTAGCAGCAGCCATGGGATAGGATGTCTAACTGGTAGCACACCGCTCAACTGCTTCTGTCTGCTGACCTCCAGGCGTGTTGGTCTTGCCATGTCCCAGCATGGAAGGTGAGGCAGGGGGAGATAAGGAGGCACCCCAGAGGAATCCCCCTGTGCATCCTCCTGATGTTCCTCTGGTGATCCCTAGTGAGGTGACACAATGATGCAGGATATCAGGAGCAGCCCAATGGTTTATAATAAAACTGTGTTTCAGACTGTATTTCTCTCCCACCTCTTTGTTCATTCACAGTATTTCCTTTATTGTTGTCTGCTTATGCACAAACACAGACCACAAGCCCACCTAAAAACACCTACTAATAAAACTGAAGGACAATGAAAATCCTTTCAGCCTGCAAATGATCTCACTGAAGCCACTGATGGAAAAAAGACTGGCTTTCAAGGCTTTTACTTTACTTTCAGCACCCTGTCCACCATTCACCTCCTCTCCCCATAAAGATCAGGCCCCTTCCCTCTCAGGCCATGACTCCGTGGGGCCAGAGCGGGCTCTTCTTGGTGCCAAGGGCCCAGCTGAAAGAATGGAGCCTGCCAGGGAAACTGCAGGCTGCAAGTCTTGGTACTGCCAGCCTAGCTATTTGTGTTTCAATTCCCTGCATTGGTAACCACCAACTTCTTGTTTGGTTTTCCCTTTTTCCTTTCTTGAAAATGTCCATTGCCGCCTCTCCAAGGAGTTCTCCTCCGCTTCCAGCACCACCGCTGTCGGCACCGTCACCTCCCGGGTGACCAGGAATGGGGATGCCGTCATGGAGAAGAAGGACTTACTCAATCACGAGGACTTGGCAGGAGACCGGGGCATGGTAGACGATATCTTTGATGAGACCTACCGGGAGAAGGAGGGCCCCAAGCCCCCCATGCGATACGTCTGGAGGAATATCATCCTCATGAGCCTGCTGCATCTAGGGGCCATATTCGGGTTGATGCTGATACCTTCTGCAAAGATCCAGACATTGGTGTGGGGTAAGCACGTTCCTCCACTTGTTTCTTGGCATCTGCAAACCCGTTTGTTGGGTGGTATTTTTTGTCCTTCAGGCCCACAGACTCGAGGAGGAGAAAGAAGGAAGGGAGGTTTTCTGCTAGAAGAAGCTACTCAGCCAGCTTCATAGCAAGCTGTGGGAGGGCTTGCTAGTGTCTCTTGTAAGGTCATGCATGAGAGAGAAGGATTTGGCTGGGGACTGCTTGGCTGCTTAAAGAGCAAACTTGATTCACAGGCACTAGGCTTGGAAGTAGCCCACAACTGAATGTGCAGCCACTTCCAGGGTGAAACACAGGAAATGTTTGATGGAGTGCTGTGACGGTCCCAGAAAGTTAGGAAGAAAGGTGCTATCAAGAGCACTTTAAGGGGTGGGCGGGGAGGGGGGGTACAGGATGTTATTTGGCACGAGGCTGCTGCCCACAGACAAGAACCTTTCCTGCCCTTACCAAGGGATGATAAATCCTGCAGAGCATCCATGTGTGTGTGTGAGGGGAAAGAGAAAATACAGTTGTGCTGAAGATAAAAGTCAAGAGTTAAGTCTGAAGCTCAGGTCTTTTATCATTCTTACAAAAGCACAGATTAGCCCCCATCATCCCGGAACTAAGCCTGACAACTTTCGAAAAATAAATAAGCATCTCTCCAGGCAGCAAATTCCAGTGGAAAGCACAACCCAGCAGAAGGTAGCTAGGCGAAGCTCTCCTTTCTCAGAGACCTTGCCCTGGGTAGGAACCAAACTTCTCCTTTGACTGCTTGAAAGGCAGCTGGGCCCAGGGCCCAAGCTGCAGGAGAGCCTCGCTTTCCACGCGGCTTTGTGTGGATCCCCAGAGGAGTCAAGAAGCCAAATAGCTCCCAGTGGGAAGGTCAAGAGAGTGCATCCAGCCCCTGCCTTCCTGTGAAACAGAGCATCCTGAAACAAAAAGCGACAGTCTAATTTGAGACCTTCTGGCATGGCTTTTGGTTTCAGCGATGCTCCCGCAAAGTGCTTGGCCAGGAGCAGGGTCCTGGCCAGCCCAGACAGGCCCTGGAGAGATCCACCTGGTCTGTCACACTCTCAAAGTCTGTCCTCTTGATGGCTGTGAGCAACAAGCATCACAGCTGGACTGGGAAGGAGATGGCTCCCT